CACTCTTCCCCTACGGCCTCAGGCTCCCGAACTGCCACTCCATCCAGCCTGGGCACCAATCCTGTCCATCAATACCCCCCTCCAGCAGCCACACTTGGACGCTCACCCCAATCAATAACCAGCGGCTGCCATCGATCAGCCCCCAGGGTATCAGACACAGCCCCAGAAAGGGAGCAGCAACAGGGAGGCAGACAGGACGAAGATCATCAGAAAACAGAGGCAGAGCTGAGAGGGAGAGGAGGTGGCAGACCCCAAGCTACGAAGGGCAGAGAGGCAGACACAGAGGGAGGCCCCCAAGAAGGAGAGAAGGAAGAGGCAGGCAAGGAAGAGTTCCTGAAGGCCAACCCGTGCCAAAGGCGTCTTCTCTCAAGCCCCAGCATAATTCTGGGAGAAAGTGGTTACTGGTGCCATCTTACAGGGAGGTAACAAAGCTGAGAGCTTAAGAAACTGGACCAAGGCCTCAGCCTTTAAATTTGGGAGCAGAATCAGGATTTAAACCAAAGGCTGTGTGTCTCTGGGACTCAAAGTCCTTTGCTGCATCCCACAGTAGCCATGAGCTATCACTTCTGACCTCCCAGCCTGGGTGGGGAGCAGGGGGAGGGACCTCCCACCCCCCCTTCACTGGGATGCCCCACTTGGAGCTTGTCAAGATGGTTCAGGAGTGGGGGAGTGGGGAGACGGGTGGGGATATTCCACAGCGCGTGGAGGGGGAGCGGTTGGTGTGATGGGGGTCGGGGGCAGGGTGGCTGTGTGCAGATTTGGCCTTTCCTCCTCGGCAGCAGGCCTCCTGGCTGATGCTTGGGCTGGAAGTTCTCTCCTTCCAACCCCAGCTCCCTCCCCTCCTTCCCAAACCCTTCCGATTGCCACAGAATGACCTTGGGCAAGTTACTCAACCCCTCTGAGACTCAGTTTCCTATCTCTAAACCAAAGGTAGTAACAGTGCTTACCCCAAAGCATCACAAGAATTAAATGAGACAAGGCGTGTAAAATCATTAGCACATGGTAAGTACATGATAAATGTTAGTGCCGTCATCATCCTCACCACCCTGCTCCAAGCACACAGCTTCCAGGTCCCATGCCCACCGCATGAGGCTGTGGTAAGTATGTGTGTGGGTCTTGGGGCTCTGATTTAAACAAGATCAGCACCCTGCAGTGCCTGATCCACGGCTCCAGGTATGGGAGGGGCATCTGTGCAGGTCTGGATGCAGATGGGTCTCAGCAGGGCTGAGAGGTCTACACAGCACCCCCTCAGCCCTCGATTAACTCCTTTGTTTCAGACAATCAAGAGCAGCTGTGGCTGGGGGATCATTTGCGTCTTGCCTCCTCTGAAAGTGGAAGGTCAGGGCCAGCAGGAAATGTGCTGAGAGATTTGCCCCTACAACCCACTATAGGGAAGAGGGAGAGGCAGTTAGTCTGCAACCTCAGGACCCATCACTTGTTCATTCATCCTTTTTAAACACCCAGGAGGTGCCTGGCGCTGTGCTGGGACCTGGGAATATAAAACGAGCCCAGCTCACTCCTGCCCTGATGGTCTAAAGCAGGATGGGGGTTCCTGGAGAGTGGGAGGGGCTTCCATGCCTGCAGAGGCCTGTGAGGGCCAAGAGGCAGTTGTAGGGGGGGCGGGGGAGGCCCGTAAGACTACTTGCAAGAAGAGACCAAGCCTCCCCTCTTACTTCCTCCCTCATTTGCTGACTTCTGTCTTGATTTCTTCTTCCTAAAGGAAACTGTTCAGCCCATTGACATTTTTTTGAGGTTGAAGATAAACCATGAAAGGTGCCACTTTTCTTGGAGTCTCCCTTCTGACACCCACAAACCTCAGCAAAAAAGCCGGGAGCCCGAGGGGGAGGGGGCTCAGAGGTGGAAGGAGAAAGCAGACGGGGCCAAGTTCAGCCCCTCCTCCCTGGCCCACCGCAGCTGGTGAAGGGTGTCCTCTGAAATGGAGTATTGTGACAGAGGGCACTGCGGGGGCGAAGGACAGGCATTTCCATAAGAATCTTTCTTGGAGTGGAGTGGAGGGGAACCTTGTTTAGAAGCAGCCTTCGCGGAGTGAGGTATAAATCTCTTGGTCCTCATTCAGTGACTGGCCCCACTCCTTTTCCCAGTCTGGGCAAGAAACTGGGACAATTAACTAGGACAGAGCTCACGCCCTTTCCTGCTTCTCTGAACGTGCTCATGGTTCTTGGGGCTCTGGCCCTGCTCCCCTACCCATCCACCTACCCTTGTCAGCTAAACAAGGTCCTGTGAGTTAAAAAGATAATTCAGAGAGCAGATGTGCCTGTGAAATAATAACAATGGCTGCCACGATGGACTTTACAACTTACCGGGCACCGTGCTACCCTGCTGAGGTATGGGATCCCCATTTTACAGAAGAGGCAACCGAATGCCCTAGGGGATAAGCGGCTTGCCTTAAGTCATCCAGCTAGGAAGACGTGGGTCGGGACTAGAACGCCAGACTATGCTGTTCATGCCGTCATGGGAGATTCAAAAGGAAGAGGTGGCCAGGTTGGGATGGAGTGAGGATGAGGGGACTAGCACCTACGGATGAGGTTGATGGGGAGGGTAAAGAAAGGGGCAGCCCCAGGTGCTATGCCCCCTGAGCAGGCCTCCAGGACACTGGGGGGAGGGGACAGTGAGAACCTCCTGGCCAGTGGCCACCTCTCTGCACATAAAACCCTGTGTGCATCTGAGCAGACCTAGGAGTGGGGAGCCTTGAGCTCTGGGCTGGGTAGGAGGCAATTAGAACTTTCTGGAGCACCTCCCCCAGCAGGATGAGCTGAAGACCACCAGGGAGGTGTTAATGAAACAGGGAAGCTGTGAACAGACCCAGGAGTGATTCCAATCTGACACCTCCACCCTAGCCCCAACCAGTAATGAGCTGGGACCTGCCCTTCTCCCAAGAGAGGGGGTGGGGGAGAAGGGGAAGTCCTTGGGCATCTGTGTAGCTTCAGATGCCTCCTTTCATTATTATTATTTTCACTGCAATAAGCAGCTCACATTTATTGAGCACCTACTGTGTCCCAGGAACTGTGCTAAGTCCTTTTCAGACATCCAATCACTAATCCTCACAACCATCTATATGGTGGTTCCTATTCTTATGTCCATTTCACAGATGAAGAAACTGAGGCTCAATCAGGTTAAGTGACTGGCCTGAAGTAGAGCCAACATTTGGATCTGGGTCTGACTCAGACTCAGAAGTCTGTGTTCTTTATGCTTGTGCTACTGTGCCTCTGACATGGACACACCAAGGTCCTCAGCAGGAAGGTGGGTGGGGTGGAACCATTCCCATCAGGGGACAGATTGGAGAGGCCAACCCTTGGGGCACTTGGGGTCGGCCCACAGTTCTGCAAAGAGAGGCGTGTGTGTGTGTGGCCCTGGGGCTGGAGCTGGAGCGGTGAATAAAGGCAGCATGCCCATGGTGTCCTAGAAGTTCCAGAACTGGGAAGAAAGGAGCAGGATCCCAGCCCCACCACCAAACCTCGTAGTCTCATTGTGCCCTGAGTCTCCTTTCTACATGGGTGCAGAGAGCTGGGCCAGGGGGCTCCAAGGAGGGACCTCCAGCTCTGAGGAAGGGGACGGGGAGGGGTGTTGGCTGGGGAGGACTGAAGTAGTGGGGGGTGGGTACTAGAAAGCCCCCTGCCTCCTGGTCAGGGAGGGAGGGGCTGAGCAGCTCTGCGAGTGGAGTCCCATGTTTGTAAACATCATTAATCAGGGATTAGCAGATGGGCATGCTAATTGCACCTGTGGAAGTCCGAGACCTCAAGGTTGATTACATTTACAAACTGTGGGGCTCCCTGGGGTGCCTGGCCCCACAGGAGTGGAGAGGAGGGTCTAGTTTAAGACCCCAGCCGGAGGGAAGAAGCTGGCAAATTAGCCTCCTGCCGAAAAAAAAAAAAAGATTCCAATCCTGGAGGGGTGTAGGGTGCTGGCCACAATTCTGCCACTCTGGGAATACCAACCTTCTGAGACCCTTCCTCTCCCGGCTGGGGAGCCCTGAAAAGAATCCTACAAATGTCATTTCAGCCCTCTCCCCTCCCCAACTCCTTCTGCTGTTCTCAGGGGTAAATCACTGCAGCTGAAAGGGGCCCTAGAGCCTAGGGGAAACTGAGGCCAGGCTGGCAGGAGAGCAGAGCCCAATGCCCTGACCTCTAGGTCTGCCCTCAGGTGCTGCAAGACCAGCTGCCGCCCTCCTCCAGGCGGGCGGCTCAGGGCTTTACCTGCATGCTCTCATTTAACCTGCCCCGCGATCCTCTGAAGTGAACACTACTGTTAGCCCCGCTTTATCGCTGAGGAAAACTAAGGCCTGGAAAGGTAAGGGACACGTCCACATGGACACCACCAGCAAGGCAGAGGCGGAAGTCGAAGCAGACACTGCTCAACAGCCAGGGTCGTGTTCTTAACCACCACTGTTGTCTCCTCTGGCTTCATCCCAACACTGTCCCTGCAGGGGGATGGACACCCACCTGGCCCCGCTTCAGGCCCAGGGCTCCCCCAGCTGCTGTGTATTTAACCACACTTGCTGAGCAGCCTGTCAGACCCCAGAGGCCACTCCAAGAACCAGACCTCGTGCTTGGCCTTAGGGTCTCGGTGCTTTCTCTTTTGTCCTGGGAATGCCTGGTTTGCATGACATAACTACGTACCCATGGGTGCATGGCAGGTAATTACGGCCTCAGTGCCCTTTGGCTCAAGTGAATCTGTCCTCCTAGAGGTTGGCCAGCCGGCTGCCCAGGGGGTGAGGCAGGGGAGCCCCTTGCGCCTGGCTGTTAGCCCAGGACAGTGGCCCATCTGGATGGCCCAGACCACAGGGACCCAGAAAGCTGAACAGCACACCCAATGCAGGCTAGATAAGGTTCCAGACACCACAGAGGAGTCCATGGACAGGAGGGGTGCTCTGGACCCCAAGCACCCTCAACCCCAACTTCTAGGTTCCATGCTGGACTTGGTCCTCGAAAACAGAGCTTGATTCTATACTCCCACATGGAGGGAACACCAGGACACCTGAGTTCATTTTCATCAAGTCTTTTAGTCTGGGTTCCCAGAGAAATAGAACCAATAGGAGATATAAATACATACATATACACACATACTTACCTACTTACTTACTATAGAGAATTGTTTCATGCGATTCTGGAGGCTGGCATGTTCCCAGTTCTGCAGGGTGAGTCTGCAAGCTGCAGACCCCGGAGAGCCACTGATGTGGTTCCCACTTACAGGCCTGCAGGCTGGAGACTCAGCAACGGCCAATGCTCAATTCCAAAAGGCGGGAAGAAATCTCTTACTCAGGGGAGGGTCAGACTTTTTGTTCTATTCAGGCCTTCAACTGACTAAATGAGGCCCATTTACATTAGGGAGGGCAATCCTCTTTACACAGTCTACCAATTTAAATGTTAATCTCACCCCAAAAGACCCAAAACACAGACATACTCAGAATGTTTGACCAAACACCCTGCCACTCCATGGCCCAGTCAAGTTGAAACATAAACTGAACCATCACATCCAGGTTTGTGTTCTGGTCCTGGGGTGCACAGTCCTTTGATTTACAGAGCACTTTTCACCGATACACCCTCATTTTATTTTTACAACTTCCCTGTTGGGAGAGCAGGTAGCTAGAGCACGTGGTGATGGCACTGTCTGCATTTTACAGATGAGGACACTGAGAAGCCATCCAGGTAATAAGCCATAGAGGCTGGGGTGGAACCAGCATCTTCTGGAGAACCTTAGGGACAGATGAAAGGTCACCTGGCCCAAACTTTCAGGGCTGTGCTCAAAAGCTCAGGTGTGAATGACTTGGAAGCATTTTCTTGGACACAAGCAGGTGGCTCAAGGACCAGTGATCCTAGAACCAGGCTGCAGACTGGCCTCAATTGGGGAGCTCTAAGAAAAGCTCGGACCTGGCTCCTTCCCCAGAGATTTGGATTTAAGAAGTCTGGTGCCTCTGGGCGCCTGGAATATTAAAAGCTATCCCCTGCCCCGACCCCATGAGTCTAAGGTGCAGCCAAGGTGACAGACCACACTGGGCTCTAGCCCAAGAGCACAGCAGGGATGGGGGAGGCAGCGCAGCATGCCCAAGGTTGACACGTGCCAGCTGAGGTCACAGCCTGTGTGCCAGTCAGGGACAGAGAGCTTAAGGGGGAACAATGGGGTGGTGATCAGTAGAGTTTATGAAGGGGTTTCTTCCTCTTTCTTAAGAAAAACTTTGACTTTAAAGCAACCTTAGGCCCTTTTTATTTATTTATTTATTTTTTTTAATGAGGAAGATTAGCCCTGAGCTAACTACTGCCAATCCTCCTCTTTTTGCCGAGGAAGACTGGCCCTGAGCTAACATCCATGCCCATCTTCCTCCACTTTATACATGGGACACCTACTACAGCATGGCTTTTGCCAAGTGGTGCCATGTCCACACCAGGGATCCGAACAGGGCAATCCCGGGCCGCTGGGAAGTGGAACGTTCCAACTTAACTGCTGCATCACCGGGCCGGCCCCAGGCCCTTTTTAAACAAATTTAAATGTCTTTCTAAATTGGCATCACCATTAGAAGTCCAAGATCAATCCATTCCACAGACAAAAAGTGGTCCTGCTTATTGAGCACCTGTGACATGGGAGGTACTGAGTTCCTACTGTCCTGTCTCCTCCCAGCAACCCAGGAAGGTAGGATGATCCCCTTCACTGAGGAAGGGACTGAGGCTCAGGCAGGCGAGGAACTTGCCCAGGGTCACACAGCAGTCAGGATTTGAACTTACAGCTGCTATCCTACAGCTCCATGCTCCAGAGCAGTGGTTCTCAACTAAGGGCAATTCTCTCCCCTAGGGGACGTTTAGCAATGTCTGGAGACATTTTTGGTTGTCACAACTGGGGGTGGGGGGAGGTGCTACCACTGGCATCTGGTGGGTAGAGGGCCAGGGATGCTGCTAAACATCCTACAATGCACAAGACAGTCCCTCAGAACAAAGAGTTCTCCAACCCAGAACGTCAACAGCGCCGAGACTGGGAAACCCCACTCCAGCTCTCAGCCTGCACTGCACATCAGACCCACCTAGGGGGCTGTAAAAACCTTGATGCCCAGGCTGCAGCCTGACCAATTACATCAGACTCTCTGGGAGTGGGTCCAGTGTCAGCCGCCTTTTAAAGTTTGCCAGGTGGTTCCCATATGCACCAAGACTGCTCTAAACCATTTACACTAGTGGCTTCTGCTCCATCTGCGGGGCCCTCGGGGAGGAGGACCAAAGCTGTTGGGTTACAATAAACGGCAGCCCTGTCCTCACTCCCTCCCAGATTCAAAGGCCAGGGCTCTGGTTCATCGGCTGCTTCCACGGAGCTGGATTGACTGATGACCCACCGGTGGGGGGACAGGAGAGCCAGTGCTGGGGGAGTGTCTGCTAATCTTTCCCTTCCCTCTGCTGGGGCCACAGCCAGGAATCTCCCCAGGTGGCTGCCAGAGCTTCAAAGCGACTGTGGACCAAAGAGCGAGGCTGCCACCTAATGGAGGAATTGGACAGAATGGCCCATGGTTGAGTGCCTGCTGGATACCAAGCCATGTTTTATTTGATCCTCACAACAGCCCTCTGAGGGAAGTGTGGACAAGGGCCCTGAGGCACAGAGATGAAGTCTGCAGTGGGGCACAGCTTGAATCTGGATTTGCACCTGTGTGGCCCATAAGAGGGTCCCGGGCCTCCCTCTACATTCTCACACTGGTTCAAGAGGAACAGGAACAAGAGAATTCAAAAAGAACAGACTGGGCTGCCCGATTTCCTTCTGAGTCTATCCTTCCCCTTGACTTCCAGGCAGCGCCTGGGGAGAAAGACCCTGGGTCCCAGCACAGCCTAGAAATGAATGAGCTGCCCTCTCCAGTGCAAGTCCAAAACCAAAACAGGAAACGGAACTCCCCGGGGTCTCCACTACAAAACTCCCTGCCCCCAAGACAGTGGTTAGCCAACAGGGGTCCAGGTGCATGCTCAGGCGGGAGACCTCGGCACACTCGAGCATGTGGCTATGTGTGCCCTCCAGCACACACACACCTCACACAGTCCAAATCAGCCTCCAACATGCCTCTCTTTTTCTGACCCTGAGGACAGTCCTGGCTGCTGAGCCACTCTGGGCCCTTCAGACGTGGCTGGGGGTTCTTGAGGGTCTTGGAGAAGTTTCCCTCTCTTCTGCTCTGCAGGGAAAGCCTTCCTCTGACTGCAGATGGAGTGAAGAAGAATTCCTGCACAGACAGACAGAAGGACAAGGAGAAGAGAGAGGATGGGGAAGAGGAAGGACCATGTGGCAGACACTCCGTCATTTCATCCTCAAAAGGATGTATTTTTTTCATTTGGCCCATGAAGCAATTGAGACACAGAAAGACTGAGAAACTTGTTAGCAGGAAACAGCCGCACGTGTGATCAGAGGGAGAGCAGGAAGGGGAGAGTAGACTCACCTGTAGCCACGGAGACATTCAAAGACTCGAGCCCAGGAGGCAGCTGCCGGCCGGGCAAGATGGTAAGGAGAACCTGGCAGGAGGCCTGCACCTCCTGGGACAGACCAGAGCCCTCGTTCCCTGCGGGGCACAGGGGCAGATGGTTAGGGATGCCTAGCGAGACGTGCAGGCACTCCAGACATGCAAGCACTCCGGAAATGCATGTCTGAGCATGGAAAAGCAGGGCCATCTACCTACCCAGCACTAGGAGAGTAGGCTGGTCCCAGACGAACTCCAAGCAACTAGTGATAGGCATCTCAGAGGACAGGGAAGTCTCAGGCCCTGGGCAGCCCACTGTGCCAGCCACGAGCCAGCCCTGCCGGGCTTTGACCTGAAAGTGGGAAGAAAAATCACATGCTAGCTTACAAAACCCTCGTCAGAGCCCCAGCCGAGGAGGAGTCCAGCCCTGCCAGTGTGTATTTATTCCCTTGCTGATCCAGTCAACTCGGTCAATAGTTATTAAGCACCTGGAATGGGCAGGCTCTGTTCCAGGCACTGGGGAAAGGGCAGTGAGCAAAACAGGCCAAAATCCCAGCCTCGAGGAAGGGTGGTCGGGGAAGGCCTCACTGAAGTGACCTGAAGGACCTAAGGGAGTATCATGTAGACATCTGGGGGAAGAATATTCTAGGCAGAGATCAGTAAGTGCAAAAGCCGACAGGCAGGTGCTTACCAGGCATGTGTGAGGAACAGTGGAGCAGCAAAGTGGCAGTGGGAAGGGAGCCACAGAGACTGGAGAGGGAACAAGGGAAGACTTAAGGTGGGACCTCAAAGGCCACTGGAAGGACTTTAGTTTTTACTCTGAGTGAGATGCAAAGGCTTTGAAAGGTTTTGAGCAGAGAAGTGAAATAGTCTGACTTACGTTTCAACAGAATCACTCTGCCTGCTGTGTTGAGAGCTGATGGCAGAAGCAAGGAAACCAGTTAGGAGGCTTCTGCAACAATCCAGGCAAGAGAGAATGGGGGCTTGGACCAGAACGGTAGCAGTGGACATGATGACAAACGATGAAAATATGGAAATAACTTCAAGGTAAAACCAGAAAGATTTGCTGATGGGTGGGACATGCGGTCATGAGAACAGGAAGAATCAAGGATGATGCCACGGTTTTTGCCCTAAACTGAAGCGACAGAGTTGCTATCGATCAAGCTGGGTAAGTCTGCAGAAGGGACAGATCCTTGGCTTCAGAAATGTTAGATTTGAAATGCCCCTTAGACAGCAAAAAAGAGCTGGTGAGTAGGTGACTAGATATGTGAATCTGGGGTTTAGGAGCAAGATCCAGGCTGGAATATACGTTTCGGAGGCATTCACATATAGACGGCATTTAATGCCATGAGACTGGATGAGACCAACAGGAAATGAATACATAGAGAAAAGAGATCCAAAGACTGAGACTGGGAGACCTGGGGGATGGTCAGGGGAGCTGCCAAATGCAGGACAATACTGCCCCCTAGCGTTCAGCAGGGGAAGCACAGCCGAAGACGAGCACGGACCAGGAAAGGACTTGCTTTCCTTAGGTTTGCCCCTTCCTAAGCATCCAAGTTTTTTGTTGTTGTTGGTGGTGGTGGTGGTGATGGTTTGGTTTGGTTTGGTTTTTTGTACAAGGGAAAAGGAGAAAGGCATAGACTAGTCCTTCTTCAAAGAGCCTTTCTGGAGGAAACCTACTGGAGGAACCCAGGACTCCTGGCCCCCAGCTCCTCACAGCTGAACAACATTTACTGAAGACCTATTTAGCAGGGACTGAGGTAGACTCGCAGAAGGGCCAGAGGTATACCTGGGGAAGGACTGCAGTAAAGGGAATGATGCTAGGAAGTCCCTAACTTCAGATTCTGCTGTACTTGTGGTTTTATAAACTGCGAGCTCCTTCCTTTCTCAAAGGGATTTAGAAGGACGTAGGGAGAGTTGCCAACACGACCCCTTCTCCCATCAGCTGATAGCTGGGTGCCCTTGGAGAGGCTGAGCTTGGCTCATTTCTGCTCCTTTACCCTCTCCCCGCCCCCAACCCCACCATTACCTGTAAAAACCCGGCCAGGTCATCAGTGGAAAACACGTCCATCACCTCCACAGCCCCGGCGCTGGCCTTGCTGACCACTGGAGTGAGCGGGCAGCTGCAAATTTCCCCATACCCCACATAAGGCCGGGTAATCTCAAGGCCGATGCCCTGCCCTCCCCCAGCCCCCAAGGGTTAGGGGTGAGAATTCTGGTGATGGGGAGACCTGGCTGAGAGATCACTCAAGGGTCAAGGTGCTTAGAAACTCGGCTACGCCTCCAAATTGGGGCACATGGGGAATAAGGGACGTCCGTGCCTGTTTCTCCGGCTGGTGATGACTTTATCCACTCCGAGGAAGTAAGCAGAGCGCAGCACCGCCCCAAGATTCCGGGGATCCTGGAGCCCCTCGAGGATGAGCCACAACTGCTGGGGGTCGTCGCCCGGCCTCGCCTCACGGCTCTCAGTCCAGGGCAGGGGCCGCAGCGGACTCACCTCCATGCAGACGCCCTGGTGGACCTGGTAGTGGCACAGGGCGTCCAGCTGCTTCCGTCTAGGCCGAAGAACTGGGATGTCCTGCGCCTCGGCCGCCCGGAGCAGCTCGGCCCGCTCCCCCTGCAGCCCGGATCTGCCGGCCTGGAGCAGGAGCCGGGCCACGCGGCGGCGGGCGGCCTGCAGAGCCAGGAGACAAGGGGACAGGCCAAACAGAAGCTCCAGTCCCGTCTCGGACCGCACGGTCGGCGCCAGGTCATCCAGTCGCAGGCGGCTTAGCTCCTCCCCGCCAGGCCGCACCCCACGCCGCGCCGCTCCGGAGAAATGACGCGTGAGGAGGCGACCGGAGCAACGCCAGGTCCAGAGCAGCGCCATGGTCAGTGCCCCCTGCTGCGTCCTCAGGAGCGGGCACTCCGCTGGGGCCCGTCCCCAGGTCCCCAACACGGGTGAAGGGGACCCGACCGCTGCCCCCACCCCGTCCCCTCAGGCAGAGGAACAAACGGCCCGAACTCCCCGCTCGAAGATTGCCTAGAACCGGGTAGCAGAACCATGACCTACCCGTGCCCGGCCCCCACGTGGGCTGCCCCACTTCCGGGTTCGGGCGGCCCCGCCCCCCGCCGGCGACACAATGTGCCTGCGCGGCCGCTAGGCTATCCCTACAGCGCCGCCTGCAGGGCTGGCTGAGCAATGACCTCGGCGTCGCGGCCAGCGGGAGGCGGTCCTCGCAGCTGAGCGACCCTACTATGGGCTTCATTCTGCGCTCTTCCAGGTACCAGAACGCTGGAGGACCGCATTCACCAGACACCAGCAAAGGATATTTTAACGCGAGGTGTTCGACCAGGCCAGTCATGTTTCCCTCCCCACATCCAGTCCACGACCAGGTGCTGGTGATTTTCCTCAGAAGCTTCTGCATCCAGCCCCTTCTCTGCACCTGCACTGCCTTGTCAAACCCTCAGCACCAGTCAGAAAGACCCCAGTAATAACTTCCTATCCTGTGGCGGCTGATCCTCTAAGTGACAGCTCTCTGCCTGTCCCGCACCTGCTGACAAACCAGCAGATGCCCTTGGCACAGGTAATGGCCAGACTCCTTGCTCAGCACTCAGACCCCCAGTGATCCAGGCAGGAGCCACCTTTTCAGCCCCATCTCACTCCTGCACTAAGTTCTGTGCTGTTCCCACAACACTGCATGCTCTTTCCGGCCTCTCAGCCATGCACACCCTGTTGTCTTCTTTTCTGGCTGGCAAACTCCTACCCATTTTCAAGACCCAACCCAAACCCACGCCTGCTCCCTAAAGTAATCCACAATCCAAGAGAGATGCCCCAAATCCACCCACTTTCCCACTCACCTGGAAGAAATTCTGAGACACAACCACCCCTGATCACAGAGAAGAGGAAGAAGTGAAAGACTCCAGAAGCCAAGGTAGGTCGTTGCGATTTTTCTCTTTTAATTATCATACTGAAATCCACTTGGGAGGCAGGCCCTGGTATTCTGCTGTCATTGTCAAAGTGGAGTGATGACCCCACAGGGGGTCGAGAAGCCAGGATTGGGCTGGAGAACTGGGATGGCAGGCAGGCAGTGGGGCAGGGAGAGGAGGAAGGCTGGAGCCCTGGATAATCAGTCAGATAGAAGGCGAGAGCTTCTCTCTGCCACCTCATCCCTGAGGGACAGGGGCTGGGGTGCAAGCAGATGGGGGGAACACCCCCTTTTGGCCATAGTCCTTCCCCCAGGTCAAAGGGAAGAGACCAAGGACAACAAACAAAGAAAGGCCAAGGAGCCCAAGAAGGGGATCAAGAACGAGTCAACAGGTAAAACAATCAAGGGCACCACCCCCTCTCCCTAGCCCATTTTTCACATTTGCAGTGGAAACAATTTGACAAGATTATATAAAAACCTCAAAAGATTTTTCTAGCCCCTAGTGGGGGCGGAGAAAGGAAGTGGAATCCAGGGGTCCAGAAATCAACACTTAAAATCCAGAGGCAGGAGCCAAGCTGTGAGGGGCAGGGAGGGAAGGAGGAGCTCCCCACAGGAAACTAGGTCACCTGCTCCGTGGGCCTCATCTGGATGTCTCCAATCTGCAGAAGGCACAAGGCTTGAGGCAGCCAGGACACTTGCCCCACCCCCTTAGGGCCTCCCTGCTCTCCTCCTCTGGGGATGGCTGGGCTCCTCCAGGGGATGGACAACCAAAGCCAGACTCACCTGGACATGGGGGGCGGTGCTGAGGACATAGATGACAGCCTCGGCCACATCCTCAGGCTTGAGACACTGAGAGCACCGGGGGAATGGGGTGGAGATGAGGACAGCATGGACCCGAGTTCCCTCCTACCACTGAGGTCCTCTCTAGCATCCACAACCCCACCCCGACCCTCCAGGAAAGGTGATGGGCTGGCTAGAAGGGTCTGAGGCCAGGGTTCTCTCTCACTTAGGGAGTGAGTGGCTTCACTGGGCCCAGAGGGAGGCCCCACCTTTATGTGCTCATAGGTGGCAGCTGCTTTCTCAGGGTCCTTGTCGTGGAGTTTGAAGGCGAACTGTGTCTCCACCAATCCTGGAGAAATGCACTGGGCCAACAGAGAGGGCCTGCTCAGGGGCGGAGCTTTGCCCCACCCCTGCCCCAATCACAGGCCAGGCCTTGGTGAGGCGGGAGGGAAAAGATGGAGGCCAGAGGGCCCCATGTTCACAGTGACGGCTGCCCAATGTCCAGCAGCCACCTACTCCCTCCAAAGCTGCCACTGGTGATTATCACAGTGAGACACACCATCTACAGAGCCCTTATGATATGCCAGGCAAATGTTTTACCAAATGGTGTCCCTTAAAACCTCAAAGCCAGATGGGTATCACCATCTCCATTTTACAAATGAGAAGACTGAGGCTTGGAGAGGTTAAGTGAGTTGTCCAAGGTCATGCAGCCTTCAAGGTAAGAGCCTCGAGTCCTGCGTTCCAGTCATTGTGTACCTGGTTTCCCACAATCCTTTGCCTTCCCTCAGTCTCACCCCACCATGCTCCCTTGAGGTCAGCCTCTTCCCACGTGAAAGTCAGTGAAATGAGGAAACTCAAGTACTGAGCAGGTCCAGGCAAGTAGCGTCAGAGCCCAGGAGTTCTATGTTCAGTATACTCCCAGGAGTTCTAAGCAGCACACCCTGGCCATGGGCTCCCTGGGCAGAATGTGTGTGCCAGGGGGAGGGCCTGTGCCTACCCCATCCCCACCAGGGCCAGGCCACACCCTCACCGTGGCTCGGATGTGGGTCTGGGCCTCCCGAAGCTCTTGCCTCAGTCCCTCTGTCAGTGCAGTGACGGCATACTTGGTGGCACTATAGAAATGGGTCATGGACTGGGGTACCACTCGGTGGCCAGACATGCTGGGTAGAGGGAGAAAAGGAGAAAGAAGAGAGAGTGAGGCTCCCAAGAGACCAGCAGTGCCCCCTGCTGTGTGGTCACCCCACCATCTAGATGCTGCAGGGAAGCCTTCTCAAGGGGGCCTGTAGAGGCCCCCCTCATGGCCCACTAATCTAGCTTCTGTTGTTCAAGCAGCTCTTGAAAGCCCTATTCTTCCTAAGTCCTCCCTTTGCTGACGACAGAATCCACTCTCCTGGTCATGCAGGCTATCCAAAATCTCTCCATTTCATCGCATGTTCACTGATATAGTTTAATGGGAGATCTCTGGGGGCAGAGGCCATGTCTTCCCCCTCAGATTGGGGACTCCCCAGTGATACTATGTAGTCTTTGTCCCACGAGGTGGCGTTCACTCCAGGGCCTGAGGAATGGAGAACCTCAGTCCCAGGAGAGCCCCCAGCTTCAGCTGCAAAGAAGAGGAGCTGAGCTACCCATTCCAGCCAATCAGAGACCGGCACTTGACATACATTGTCCTTCCCTCACCATAATCATGCCATCTGGTGTTAACTGGGTATTAAACCCCTATTTTACCACCAAGGAAACTGAGGTCCAAAGAGGTCAAATAAGCTGCAGCCGGCCACCTAGCTTGGAGGGTGAGTGGTGATCTGCGCTCCAGCCCTCAGCCACCCGCCCCACCTGTTGATGTTAATGATGTGCCCGTCATCCACTTTCCGCTCCTTCATGGACTGGTAGGCTTCCCGTGTGCAGATGCTGAGGGCCAGCACGTTCACCTGCAGGCCAGGGAGGGCAATGGGGTGTCTTCAGCTTGGGCTCATCTGAGCAGGTGATGGAGCCACAGAGCACCCCCCAGGGGGTGGCATTCCAAAACAGTGTCCAGGTCCTATCAGAGACCAATGATGGGCCCAGGGCATCTTGCCTTAGGCGCCCCTTCCCCTAAAGCCACCAGCCCCAGGGGACAGCAGAGGCAGCTCCTCACCCTGGGTGATCCCCCCAGTTCCTGCAAACAGGAGTGGAAACCCCCCAAACCCACCCATGACCCAGGAGACTCCCTGTCTTTGGCGTCTCCTCTGCAAACAGTAGAACCTCTGCCTTAGGGAACATCTCCTTTTCTTCCCCAAATACCCTAGTCTTCTATTCTCTGAGACAGCATCCTTGGCCCTGCTGTCTCCTAAACAGCCTAAAATCCTCCCTCAAATGGCTTTAAAAATCTTTCCTCAAGCATAGACCCTAGCCTCTCCCACCTTACCCAGCTACTCTCTGCTCCTTTCCTGTCCCCTCCCTTGAGACCACAGGTGAAAACCCAGCCTGACTCTCCTTTCTTCCATGCCTTTCCGTTCCAGCTAAAAGACTAGGCCCAGAGACTCTTTAGAGGGTGGGGTAACTTGTCAGGATGGCAGGGACCTCCCTAGCACATGGGGGAGCTTCCTGCCTTCCTTGGCCTTGCCTACTCCTACTTGCTCTGGCAGAGGTGACCCCAGATCCCTACCCTTTATGAAACAGAGGCCTGAAGAAGTACCTCTGCTCCAAAGCTCCTGCCCAGCCCCACCCCTTAGCCTCACCCATGAGGACAAGCCGAGATAAAGCTTTCAGCAGGTCCTCATGTCTCTCCTCTGGGGAAGAGAGGGGACCAGCAGAGAGACTAGATGTTTCTCTTTATCAGGTGTCAGAGCCAGGCATCAGGACAGAACACCCTCGGTGTGGACCTGCCTCAGCATTCACAGCAGAAGGACACCGGGGGTTTCCAGCCCTGTTTCTGGTCCTCTTAGCCATATGGGTTTGTAGGGCAGAGAAGTCAGCTCCTGAGGATGGAGGGAGTAGGAGAAACAGATGCCCTGAGGCCAGGGGAGCAAATGTCCTAGGTGTGGGGGTCAGGGGTGAGAGCAGAGAAGATGCTTCATAAGATGAGCCTAATAGAATTACATAATGTTCATGCTGAAAGGGGCCTTGGGGATTTAATCTATGTCCCTCATTTTACAGATGAGCAAGTTGAGGTCCAGGTTTAGAGACCCACTTACTGCAGGTGAAGACCACACTCAGACCTCCCAGAAGGCTCTCTGAGGGCAGGGGCAGTGCTTCATTTTCACTGCTCACTGTTTCACTGCTCACTGTTCATTTCTAGGCCCAAGTGTCTGTTAGGTGCTAACTCTATTGTTAGCAGATGTGAAAAGGATCGTGGGGGAAGAGACGCAGTGCATCCCGTTTACACACTGCTTTCAACTTCTCAGGATACTTTCATACCCTAATATTGCCCCATAATACAGTCCAGAAGTTGAAAACCCATGTCTTGAAGGCTGTATTCGGTCCCTACATAGTTTTAAAGCATTTTAAATTCATTTCCAACATGTATTGGAAGGTTTCATTCATTCAACAAGTATCTATTGAGTGTTTACAGGCTGAGGCTACACCAGAGAATAAAACAGACAAAAATCCTTGCCCTCGTGGAGCTGAGGTTTAGTGAATAGGAGGGGTGGGGTGTCACACAAAAATCCAGGCTCCCCACTCCTCTCAAAGAAATCATAAGATCTGGCCACACTGAGTCCACACTTTCCAGTAGCAATAATGCTGTACTTCAGCAGTGGCCACCCCTGTATGTGGCCGTGAGCTCTCCCACTTACTGCAGATCCCTCCTGACCTGCCTCACTTATTTATGTACCTACTTGGTCCAAGGGGACATTGGAGTTTGTGACCCCAGATATTGATGGTATAGGTGTATTCATGCCAATTAAATGTGACAAGACTGAAGTTCAGAGAGGGTAACTACCTGCCTGAAGCCACAGAGTTATGGGGCAGGGCTCGGTGAGAACACCATCTCCTGTCTCTTTTCTTCCCATAAGACCATGTTCCCAAGCACTCAGCACGGTGCTGACACATGGGGGACATTTAATAAACAGCAGTTCTCTCCCCTGCCAATCTTTCTTCCAACAGAAGGAAATCAGCCTAAGAACTGG